AAGGGTTGCGATCCCGTTACCGGTCACGAAAAAAGACAAAAAGGGAAAAAAAAAAAAAATTCTTGTTAAACACACCGTAACTGATATTTTCTGAAACTAGCAGCATTACTTATAACTGTTTTTAGATAGCACAAGTAGAAAAGTACTTCAATTGGGTAACTGATACCAGTCATCAGAAGGACACTGTGTAGTTTCTAATCAGATCTATCCATAGTATTAAATGTTGGTACAGACTCAACTGATTGACTATAGCATGGCACAGCCATAAAGGCCCTCTAGGCTAGTTTCAGCCATTTCTCTTTATTATTGTTTAAAGTTTTTAAATTTACACTCCCAAAACTCTTACATGTTAATTCTGTTATTTGAAATCTCAACTCTTTCACAGAAGTCCTAAAACTTCAATTTTAATCTAATTTCAGCTTTGAAAAGCATCCCCTCCAATCAATTAAAACAAAATCAAACCAAAAAAACCCACATTATAACTCTAAGTGACAAGAAAAAAGTAACATTGATTTTCTCTGGAAATAGCAACTGAATTAAAGTTGGGGGAGGGGGGTAGGTGTTTTGACTATATACATTCCTTTTTTACTGCATGTAAATAGTTTTTTAAAGCCACTTTTTGCCATTTGTAAACAAGACCAAATAACACTATGCAGCCCAATTATTAGAGTAAAACTTAAAAATTACATGCGAAAATTTTCTATCACCAGATCACCAAAAATGTTAAATAATGATAAATAATTAACAAACATTAATTTCAGGCAAAGTTTTATAATGATCCACTCACAAATGAAAATTAAGATTAATAAAGACTCAGGGTTAATATGCTGAATGCAAAATGTTAACATGTGTAAGTTAGAACTTTTCCTAATGTCATTATCTTACTGGCTTTGAAAGATATAAATATATACCTATCAGACTATATTCTCTTCAGTTTAAAAGTTCTACTTTAACTGTACTGTCTACTTTTAGAAATATTATTTCTTTCAAGTAACAGACAGAATATACCACAGCTTCATATTTGTAACAAAAGGCACAGATATTTGTAAGTGTAATGACATTTGCTAAAAGCAGTCATTTTTCCTAAAAATAATCATTTCAAAAGAATCCATTCTCTTGAGCTTTTTTGTGTAGGGGGGAAGCTCCTCCAGTTTAAAAAACTTATTAATTACTATATTCTTAGGACTCCTGGGATCCTCTTCAACATCCTTGCCTTGAAAGTACTTCTACTCAAATAGGTAGGAAATTAAATGGCTTAAATTATATGATCTGTTTGTATAGGGAACGGCCTTTAATCAGTACAGATGAGGAAAATGGACAAGTCTGGTAAACTACTAAGGAGCTTGGTCTATGATACTACCATTCAATTCTTCAGCAGAATAAACATTTCAACACATGTAAACATGTAACAAATGACATTTTTCCCAATTTGCCCACTCTATTCAAAATCTTTCAAGCAAATACTCTTGATATACAAATCATTCACAATAGAAAGGCTACTTACACTTTTCCTTTAATTGGATTTTTTAAAATTAGAGTTTAAACATTTTGCAAATGTGAAATATGAGAAAATTCCATAAATTTCCTCAAATCTTTGGTATTCCCAAAGCGGTCCTCCTTTTTTTTTCATTTCACTTACTCCTTTTCTATTCTTGCTCTGTGTGTAAATCTGAAAAATCACTGTGCACCATATCAATATTGTTTTATTTTAAAAACCAGATAAGTGGGGCCGGCCCGTGGCTCACTCAGGAGAGTGCAGTGCTGATAACACCAAAGCCATGGGTTTGGATCCTATATAGGGATGGCCAATTCACTCACTGGCTGAGCATGGTGCTGACAACACCAAGCCAAGGGTTACGATCCCCTTACCGGTCATCTTTATTTTAAAAAAAAAAAAAAAAAAAAAAAAAAAAAAAAAAACACCAAGCCAAGGGTTACGATCCCCTTACCGGTCATCTTTTTTTAAAAAAAAAAAAAAAAAAAGACTTGGGAGAGAGATTACAAAAATCTAGAAGGATTCCCTATTCAGATCTGAGTATGGTTGATAAGGAATGATAGCTCAAATCTCCAAAGAGGAACTGAAGTCCTCGTCCTTGATTAGAAAACAAGTAAAAAAGTTGATAAATAAATATACTTTTACATGTTTTAAATTAAAATGTTTCAGAAATGTATTTTGATTCCTTGCTTTATCATATGTCTTTGATATACTGACCAACTTGTTCCTACTTATAATAGATAAAGGTACTTTACTGTATTTAATGTCTTACAAGAAAAAAACATTACCTTTAAATAAAGAAATACTTAAATTTCCCATATTATATCCTTATTACCACACTTTCCCACTATGTTTATTACATTTCTTAACACATGTCCATCCTTAGTCTAAATAACTAATTAGTGCCAATATATGATATACATTAAGCTGTATATCATACCCTGGCAACTATACTTCCAGTAGATTTTATACAGAACATGCTTCACCCAAGTACTGCCATTGCATTATGAAAAAGAAATTATTTTTCAATTTATAAGTTAATATGCAAGTTAAAAATAAGTGATATCTTCACAAAACTAAAATATAAACTACTTTTTCAAAAACTAAAAAATGATCTGGTTTCTAAATTTTTAAATGCTAAGTTCCAACACTTCAACCACCACCACCACCATTATTAACAACCATGTCCCCACAAAAAAGGGAGGTAAGGACAGTGCATCGCTGCAGTCAAATGAGAAGTGCCAAACAGTTTTTACCTTCCGATTTTGATCATAAGCAGAATCAATCCCCAAAATGCTATTCACTTCCACATATGGGTATTTCTTCTCCAGGACACTGACCACATATTCAACTTTCACTTTTTCTCCAGTCCTCACCTTGTTATAGACCTGAAGAAAGAAAAACCAAGTAACCAACCACACTTTTAAATCCAAATTTCAAAGCATCCATTACAAGATTTCTGAAGACAGAAGAAAATATGACTACTTTTCTTAGAAGGTCAAATTGGGACATGTCAGCAGTTCTCCCTTTTCCACAAACCTCATTAAGATGCCTTCTTACATCAGAAACTAAATATTGTTAAAAACACTCAATCAGTTTATAGGCACATTAGGTCCCAAACATAAAAATGCATTATGAAAAATCCAAAGTTCTCCCTTTTCCACAAACCTCATTAAGATGCCTTCTTACATCAGAAACTAAATATTGTTAAAAAGACTCAATCAGTTTATAGGCACATTAGGTCCCAAACATAAAAATGCATTATGAAAAATCCAAATACTTATATGTAATCCTTGAAATAATTCTTGTCAGTGATGTTTAGGGGGGAAAAGATTACAAAATATGTGTTGCATAAATCCTGTTTTTAAAAAACAGACCCAAGGGCTTCTGGTCAAGATGGCAGAATAGACAGTCCCCAGCGTCACTCTCTTTCATAAATCAACCAATTTACAACTATAAAAAAGCAACAACAGCTAAGTTGGGGCTGCTAGAGCTAAGGGGAAGAGAAGGAGAGACCTATGGAGTGCACAAAGGTGGGAGAAGCCACAATGAAAGAAAGAAAAATCCACTCCAATCATTTCGTGCCATGGCTGCTTTAAGGCTGGAGCTGCTGAGGGCACAGAGCAAGAGCTGGCAAAAGCTGCAGCTGTGCCCTTCAGATGAAGTTGCTTGGAGGCAGCGGGGGAGAACAGGGCCTTGGCAACCCCCAGGCCAGCAAGACCACTAATAGGGTTCCCATGGACCCACACAGAAGCAAGGAGCCACAACAACCATAAAAAAGGAGCCACTCAGAGGCTGGTGGGTCATCACAAAGGACCAGCACACAGCCCGTCCCATGGGAAGTGTTTGCAGCAGGGGTGGTGGGAGAGATGGGCCCACTAGGGGAACACTGGGGCACAGCAAGGACAGCTGATTGGCACCCCAATCAGCAAAGGACCACTCAGATGACACTGGTCAGGAATATAGAATTGCATGGGGTGCAGTTTGATGAAAAGACTCAGGCCTAGATCAGAGTTTCTACACAACCCAGGTGTACTGGGTCTCTGGAGAGCTGAAAGTACCTATAAAGTCAACCATTAAAACCTGAGCTGCACAAAAAGCCTTCCTTAGGGAATCAGCAGCAAAGCAGCAATTTAGCTAAACCACACACCTCAAGTACTGGTCCCCACAAAAACTGGTTCAGCACCACCCTGGGACCTGAGGTGTGGAGCCGGGGACTGGACCACCCCCACAACCAGGCACACCGCCAGCGCCAAGGACCATGCCAAAAACATCACCTCCATGTGAGTGGCTCACCACAGCCACCACAATACCACAACTGCTGTGAAAGCGGCTAGACACCACAACTACTGTGCACATGGTCAGCCACCCACTGGAGTGCACTGACAGAAGGAGAGTCACCAGCAGAGACCAAAGAAAAGAGGATGTCTCTCTCCACAAGGGCCATTCCAGAGTGACAGAAGAAGCATCAGCTGTACGTAATATTGGGAGCAACATATGTCAATGCTGAGCCCCAAAAATGTGTATAATCAAATATGATTCAATAAAAATTTTAAAATAATAAAATTAAAATTAAAATTAAAAAACAGACCCAAAACAAATAATAACAAAACTGTGCTTATACATGTACAGTTAAAATCTAATCATTCAAGGGAGATTAGGGAAGGGAGACGCAGAAATTTTAAAATGACATTAGTATTATCTGAATTTTGTTACAGTGAGTATGTATTGCTTTTGCAATAAAAAGTAAACAAAAAGAAATTAAAACTCATACTATACTTTCCTTCCTATACATATCTATGAAGGGGAAAAAACTTTAAAAAGCAGACTTTAAAATACTTGTTGGGCCGGCCCAGTGGCGCACTCGGTAGAGTGCGGCGCTTGGGAGCGCGGCGGCACTCCCGCTGAGGGTTCAGATCCCATATAGAGAGCAGCAGATTAACATCATGTTTAGGGGTAAAAGTGGTGAAAATCAATTGCTTTAAACACGATTTTTTTAAACAGTTACCATTAATCTGTAAATCAAAGAACTGTTACTTATAAAGTTGTTTATACTCAAAAGTAGAAAAAAGATAAGAAAATAAGAATTCTTTCTTTGAACTTGAAAGTAAATGTCTTCAATATACACACAAATCAAAGCATTTCGGAGTTTCCAGTAAAAATGGAAAACACAGACTGTTAGTCAATAAGAATTTTATGGCTTTAATATTAAACTAAATCCTTATAAAAAATTATATAATAGTCTCAAAGGGAAAAAAAGTAAACTTTTTTAAAACAAGTAGAGAATATCACATTTGCCAAGAGACACTAACGAATGATTTCAAATCACCAAAGGGTACAAGACTAAGATACACCAGTAGGGTTTCTAAGCAATCTTATCTTAGCCAAAATTACAGCAAAACGTTAGTGAATCAATAAAGTAAAGGCAACCCCTTAAATACAAAACAGATAGAGTTTATGTGAATAATTTACTTTTTCTCTTTAAAGAAATATAAAATCCTCTTACCACATATTGTTTTTACAGTGTCCGATTTTTTAAAAAAATTATAAATATATATAATCAAGATGTTTCAATTAAAAAAATAAATTCAAAAAATGATTTTCCATTTGAACAAAAACATACATGTGTCAGAGTTTGGAAAGCATGGTAATGATCCACTTCTTGGACAACATAATTATATGCTCTAAGAACAGCCACTCCAGCATCTTGCATTCCATCAACATCTTCAGAGTCATTAACCACAAAGATAAAACCAATTCTGGAGAGGGAGGGGAAAAAAGAAGAAACATCTCAAAGTAGGCAACCAGTTAAAAGGAATGGCACTCTTATAATCCCCTCATATATTAGCTAATAGAGGAAAACTATCCTTAAGTGAAAAACACAGTTCACATGCTACTCTAACATGGTTGGCAAAGGTACACACACAACACTTACAAAATAAAAAAGAAGGTTTTCAAAAGTGGCTTAGACTTTTCTACTGTTAGAACAAGCTGCTTCCACATGATGAAAAGAATCCTTTACTGAATAACGGGTGTTGCTATAGGTTTAGTGGAGGTTTCGTTCTGCTTTTAAACAAAAATTAGGGGAAATGAATTTTCAGACTGTAAAAATGAACAGAAAAGAGGGGATTTTGAGATTTAACACAGGCAATATGAGAATTATAGGTAAAAGGAAAGGGGGAAAAAACGATTTACAATTGCCCTACAGCAGAAAGCTACAACCAAGGTTACAGTTTACTAAATTTAAAAATTTTAAATATTGGAATAGGCTAATCTATAGATGGTAATGGGTTAGCAGAACTTATTAACATCCGAATCACTAAAGTTAATATACAACTCCCCACTGCTAAATTTGACTGACAATAAATAAGTAAATAAATAAAATAAAGGGATAAACCACAAAGTGATACCATTATACATCTCTGGTTTGGTTGGCAAAAAAACTGGGACCAGACAAAACGAAAGCCCCTAGCCTTCACACTGAAGACAAACAATTAAATGGAGAAAGGATAGTCTTTTCAACAAATGGTGCTGGAGCACCTCGACATCTACATGCAAAATAATCTAGATACAGACCTTATGCACTTCACAAAAATTAACTCAAAGTGGATCACAGACCTAGATGTTGAACACAAAACTACAAAACTCCTAGAGGACAATAGAGAAGAAAATTTAGGTGATCTTGGGTTTGGCAATAACATGTTAGATCCAAAAGCATTATCCACAAAAGAAAAAATTAAGTTGGACTTCACTCAAATTAAAAACTGCTCTGTGAAAGACACTGTTATGAGAATGAAAGGACAAGCCAAAGACTGGAAGAAAATCTTTGCAAAACACCCATCCGATAATGAACTGGTATCCAAAATATACAAAAAAATGCTTAAAACTCAATAATAGGAAAACTAAATTTATTAAAGGGCAAAAGATCTGAACAGATACTTCACCAAACAAGACATACATATGGTTAGTAACCATATGAAAAGATGCTGAACACCATTTATCATTAGGGAACTGGAAACTAAAACAACAATAACATACCACTACGCACCCATCAGAACAGCCAAAATCCAAAACACTGACACCACCAAATGCTAACAAGGATGTTGAATAACCATATGAAAAGATGCTGAACACCATTTATCATTAGGGAACTGGAAACTAAAACAACAATAACATACCACTACACACCCATCAGAACAGCCAAAATCCAAAACACTGACACCACCAAATGCTAACAAGGATGTTGAACAACAGGAACCCTCATTCACTGCTGGTGAGAATATAAAATGATACAGCCATTTTGGAAGACAGTCTGGCAGTTTCTTATAAAACTAAGCATATTCTTACCACACGATCCAGCAATCATGCTCCTTGGTATCTACCCAAAGGACTTGAAAACTTATGTTCACACAAAAACCTGCACATGGATGTTTATAAAGCAGCTTTATTCCTAACTGCCAAAACTTGGAAGCAACCAGATGTTCTTCAACAGGTGAATGGATAAACAAACTGTGGTATATCCATATAATGGAATAATATTCAGTGATAAAAAGAAACGAACTATCAAGCCACAAAAAGACACAGAGGAACCTTAAACGCACATTTCTAAGTGGAAGAAGCCAAGCTGAAAAGGCTTCATGCTGCATGACTGCAACAATATATTCTATAAAAGGCAAAACGGTAAAGACAATAAAAAGATCAGTGGTTGCCAGGGGTTTTGGGGATGAGGGGATGGACAAATAAGTGCAACACAGGGGATTTTTAAGGCAGTGAAACTAATCTATATGATACTGTAATATGGATACCTGACATTACACATTTGTCAAAACCCATAGCATGTACAACGCAAACAGTTAGTCCTAGTGTAAATTATGGAGTTTAATTAATAATGTAAAAATATTAATGAACATGGCTCTAAAAAATATAATCTATTAAAAAACCAAACATGGTCTAAAACCTTATTACGTCATCAGAACACAGCTTAGTGTTGGGGGCATGGAGCACACAGTAATATTTGTTGGCTAAAGAGGTCTTTTCTTCTTTATTTTCACATTTTCCAAGAATTCGAATTTCATTAATATGTAAAATTATCAGAATTATTCAGAATGTAAGTGAAAATATCTTAAGACTTATATGTGAAAATTTTTTGTTCTTGAAAAGTGGAAACCCAGCCACTCAGTACCCAGTTTGTAGTTTTGGCAACACAAGAGAAATAAATGTGTCTGTCTGCATCTACACAAGGCTATGTATACATTTAGTCCTTCACAGTCTAACAAAAGCTATTGGCAAAGCTCCATATCTCTGCTGAAAGTAGAAATAGGCCTTGTGATGTGGACACACCTAGGAAAATTCCCTTCCATTGGGAAGTGAGCTAAGACCATACACTATATTTATATGGGCTACTTATTAATAATTCAGTGGTGGTAAGCTTCTATTTACTGAGAATTAAATTCCCAGTCCCAAAAGATAATGGCTTCATACTGAGTGGAAGATAAAATTGCCATTAACATCCCCTCTGGGCCGGCCTGTGGCTCACTCGGTAGAGTGGGGTGCTGATAACACCAAGGCCACAGGTTCGGATCCTATATAGGGATGGCCAGTTGGCTCGCTGGCTGAGCATGGTGCTGACAACACCAAGTCAAGGGTTGAGATCCCCTTACCGGTCATCTTTAAAAAAAAAAAAAAAAATCCGCTCTATTAATATTTACCCTATAATTCAGTAGCAACAGTCTTGCATTTAAAGATAACAAACAAAACCTCAGCTGAATTATTTGATATCATCAAATCAATGCCAGTGTTACCTTAGGGGTATATGATTACTGAGGAACATCTCAGCTGTGTTAATCAACTCTGCTGTGGTCTCATGTGCAGGATCAACTATGAAAAGCTGTGGGAGAAAGAGAAAAGAAAACATGAAATGACACTTATTCAAATGTACCTGGGCCTATAGAAATGCTGATATTCTTTGCACATTAAACCAACCCTTTTCCAGCTACTCTTGAAACACATAAAAGAGGAGTTAAACAAATAGCAGTTTACCTCCCTTTATGTTCAAAGAATTTGATACTGAAGGGCTTATGGACTTATGCTGTTAACATGGGAACTGTTTTCCAGATTGCTGACACCTCTTCTTTTCCTCATCAAACAAAAACTAAGTTTTATCAACTCTCTCACCTTAGAAAATAAAGACTGCCTTTTTGTACATTCACTTTGAAGGATGTCAGAATTAGGAATTCATTCAGAACCCAATTCCTAGACCATAGCAACAGCTAGCAAGAATTAAGCACTCATTATGTGCTAAGCAACTTACACATATTCTCTCATTTAATAAAGTTCAGACGTATGGTAAGAGAGCAGGAGACTGAAATTTTGACTGAGAAGGCAAAAAGGGGTTTCAAGAGTTAAAAAGTACAGAAGGCAATTTCCCTTGCAAGTCCTGAGGAAGCAGACCTTGGCCTACCCCTTTCGCAGCTACGTGAGGGAAGAGAAAGAAATGAGAATGCTCTCTCTCTATCTCTCTAAAGCAGTGAAAGAAGAAATAACAAGCAGGAGTTGATAAAAAGACTTATTTAAGCAATAAAATTGAATGACTAAATCTTAGGGATTAAAATATTAAAGAAAAACAGTAGCAGTACACACCCTCAAGTAAAAAAGGAGATCTTAAAACTAAAATGACACTGCTGTGAACCTAAAACTGCTCTAAAAACTGACAAAAAGACTTGTTTAAGCAATAAAATTGAATGACTAAATCTTAGGGATTAAAATATTAAAGAAAAACAGTAGCAGTACACACCCTCGAGTAAAAAAGGAGATCTTAAAACTAAAATGACACTGCTGTGAACCTAAAACTGCTCTAAAAAAAGTCTTAAAATAAAAAACAAAAACAAACAAAAAAACTTAAACAACAGTCTAAACCTTCATGTTTAGGATGAGGAGGAGCATTTCCTCACCCAGGAGGAAATGGAGGCGGTAATGCTGCTGTAACATCTTACAGCCCTACATATTATCAAGACATTCCAAAGCCCTTTCAGTCAGAATATGAAGCATATCTGGTGGTGGTGGTGGTGGTGGTAGTGGTGGGGGGAAGCAGCTAGAAAAGGAGAGAAGAGAACATTCCACATATGAGAAAAAAGTAGACAAGGGAGAAACGGAGTTCATGGCCAGACAATAAAAAGTTTTACTTACCATGTTATGCAAGTTTTTCCTGATCTGCCGGATAACACCAGGAAAGGTGGGTCGAAGCAACTCTTGTAGACTAGAAGGCCACGAATTATACCTGCTATCAACCTCCAGGTTGTTGACCCACTAGAAAAAAATAACAAAACATGGAGTATACACTTTAGCCACCAGTTAGTGAAATGTGCAGTGATAACAAGATGTTAGGTTATTTTACAAAGAATCACACAGGACAAGAACATTTTCAAAGATTGTAGAGAAAAATGAGTGACTAAAAGATAAGCTACAGGATAGGTGAAGATATTTGCAACCTACAAAACCTAGAAAGAACTAGTGTCAAAACTGTGAATAGAAATCTAACATATCAATAAAAAATGCAAGCAACCCATAGAAAACAGAAACGGGTCAATAGTATAAAAAATAAATATATAGAGGAAATCCAAATGGCCAGTAAACACAAGAAAGATGTACACCCTCAATCTGGGAAATATAAACTACAATCACAATGAAATTTCACACTCATTAAACTGAAAAAAATCAAAAGCATGTCAATATTCAAGAATAGGCAAAGATATAGGGCAATGGGAACTCTCACCCAATGGCAGTGTCTGGAACAATCACTTCAGAGAATCACTTTAGAGAACTATAGTCTTCAACTTTATTAGTACCCTACCACTAAGTACTCCAGTTCTCAGTATCTACCCCAAATAAATTCTCACATATATGCACAAGGAGAGAGGTACAAACAGAGGCATTATAGCACTGCTTGCAACAGCAAAAAATTATAAACAATTTAATGTACAGAAAGAGAGCAATGGATAAATAAACAGTATGTACCCAAGGGCAGGGTGGGAAAGTATAAAATATATATATATATTTCCTTGCTCACACATGCAGGAAGTATTTCTGGAAGGATCCACAAGTAATTGATAACGATTGTTGCTTCTGGGGAGAAAACTGGACGTTTCACTATAATGGTATATAGTGCATCCTAAATTTTAAGCTACAAAAGTATAAATGATTTCTTTAATAGGTCAAATACTATAAAATATGATATGATAAACTATATCTATCAACCTGCAAAAACTCTTGACAAAACTATTGGGTAAAAAAATTGATGAAGGATATTGACAAATACTGGATTAACCCAATTTTTAAAAATTTTAATAGGGAATAAAAGGATAAAATAAGGAAGAGGATGAATACACACCAAATTCAGAAAAGGAATTACCTGCAGGTTGGAGAGGGGCGGAACTAGGAAGGGATATAAAGAAGGCTTCAATGGAAACATTTTTTCCCCCAAGAAAACAACATATCAGACACAAAATGATTAAATGCTAACATTCAGTAAGTATGATGATGGGTCATATGACTGTTAATCTCTTTATGTTAATACAAACATATGTTATGTTTATAATTATTTCTTTTTTTTTTTTTTTCCTTTTTGTCTTTTTTTCGTGACTGGCAACGGATCGCAACCCTCAGTGTCGCACCCGTACCGGAC